CCAGGTACTTCCGATCTCAAGTCAGTGATTTTAAAAACCGTCCACCTAGTAGTTTTTAGCTGTTGTTCTTAATACATGTAGATTTAAGTTTATTTTTGAAAGAAGGTTAGATAGCATTTTTCTAATTTCCCCCTCTCCCCCTTTTTTTTTTAGTTTTTGAAAACATTTTTTTAAGCTATTTAGCATTTGATACTTATGCTTCTGCAGTGCATGTATTTAGAATTTTAGTGTTCTTGATATCATAAATTAAGAAATCTGTTATCTAACCCATATTTTATGATCAGATGTTTTTGCTTTAACTAAAATATTATTATGGGAAAGTTACCACTGTTTACTCTATAAATTCAAGAAGAAGTGTTAATTTCTTCTCCATATTTACAGCTCAGGCATGTCATTAACGCTATGCAAAAATTGCCTTTGGCAGTAGACAATATTATCTCTTTTTAAACATTTGGCACAACCAAGTGTAAAGTGAATGTAATGAATGCCAGGGCATGAATGGTAATGAGAGACCCATGTTTTCTTTTTTTTTTGTTGTTTGTTGTTGTTTTCTCCATGCAAAGGCTTAATTCTTGCCATCTAAATAACTTCCAACCTGAAATCACGATATACAATTGACAGGGACGTCTTCCCTCAGGTACTGAAATTACATATGAATTGTAGAACACTAACCAATATTTTAATAAGAGTATATAAAAATATTGTTTCTTTCATCCCCTTCCATATGTTTTATTGTCTTATAATATTTTGCATATATAAAAATCTGGAAATGTGCTGTACACAGTAGTAAAGCAAGAGGATTGGTAACTGAAAGCCGGTAAGTTGTGCTATACACATATATCTCCAAAGCAGTCAATGCAAGTCTGTCCTGCTGGAATTAAAGTTTTTTCTGGTAATGACCATCTGTCTCTCTCTCACACACACACACACACACACACACACACACACACACACACACACACACACACACACACACACACACACACACACACACACACACACACACACACACATACACACATACACACACACACCTACCTACCTACTTACACACCTACCTACCTACCTACTTACACACCTACCTACCTACCTACCTATCTACTTACCTACCTACACACATATACACCTACCTACCTACTTACTTACACACCTACCTACACACACACACCTACCTACCTACACACCTACCTACCTACCTACACACCTACCTACCTGCCTACACACCTACCTACTTGCCTACACACCTACCTACCTACACTCCTACCGACCTACCTACACACCTACACACCTACCGACCTACCTACACACCTACCTACCTACCTGCACACCTACCTACCTACACACCTACCTACCTACCTACCTACACACTTACCCACCTACCTACCTACCTACCTACACACCTACCTACCTACCTACCTACACCTACCTACCTACCTACACACCTACCTACCTACACACCTACCTACCTACCTACCTACACACCTACCTACCAACCTACCTACACACCTACCAACCTACCTACACACCTACCAACCTACCTACACACCTACCAACCTACCTACACACCTACCAACCTACACACCTATCTACCTACACACCTACCTACCTACACACCTACCTGCCTACACACCTACCTACCTACACACCTACCTACCTACACACCTACCTGCCTACACACCTACCTGCCTACACACCTACCTACCTACACACCTACCTACCTACACACCTACCTACCTACACACCTACCTACACACCTGCCTACCTTCCTTCCTTTAAGGAAACACTCACAGTCACAGGAACCAGTTACATGACTGACCAGTTGAAAAAATATCTGATTTGAAATATGTGGTCAAATTCGTCAATTCTTGCAAATTTGATATATGAGATAACTAGTCAGGTCTGGTATTTTGGAAACAAAAACAGAAACAAAAAAGAAAAAAAAGAAAAAAAATAGAATTTGCATTCCCGCTGTTAAACCGAGATGCATAATTCATGAAAGAGTTAAAGAATTTATCATATCACAAAGGGCATTAAAAGTACAAGGAATGATTTTTTTTTTTTTTTTTTTTTTTTTTAATTTAAAGATATAAGATTGAAAAAAAGGCATAGGCCCATTGATTATTATTATTATTCGTTTTTCTTTTTCTTTTTCTTTTTCTTTTTCTTCTTCTCTTTTCTTTTTTTTTTTTTTTCTTGCCAACTGTGGCGGCCCCCATAATGTATTTTATAGGGGCTGTCCCACCTACAAATTTGAATCTGAGGTAGCAACTCTCAGATTCAAACTCGGACTCACACTGCGTGAAGCCAGACAGGAAGCACGTCGACGTGGATTCTCTCTTACTCCTTACTCCAGTAATACTGCTCATTCTAACACTTCTCCTAAACCCACCCCTCCTACATCTAACCCCCCCACTAACCCCACCTACCTTCCCCAGTCAAACTCTTTTGCCATCCTAAATCCAGAAACTCCAATCTCTACTACAGATACTCCAATCACCACTACAACCCCAACACCTTCCCCTCTCCCTCCTCGCACTCCCCGTAACAGACAGAACAAACGTTCCACCCCCTCTTCCCCTACCACACAATCACCCCCACCATCCTTTGCCCGTACTCTTGAGACACCAGTCCTCTCTTCCCCCCCTCACAAGAAATCCTTTATCCCCCAAAACTCCCCAACCAACTCCACAGAAGAAACTATTGAAAATATTCAAGAATACTTAATGAAAACTGACACTCAACTTACAACTCCTGCTCCTTCCACACTCCAAGTAATTGCTGATATCCATCCTCCTCCTAACGATATCCCCCCTACACCCTACCCTCCTACCCCCTCCCAACACAGCCCATCCCCCCTGACCCCAACCCCGCCCACATTAACTCTCCCACCATCCCCTCTATCCCTTCCACTCCCTCCTGGATACACACGTGAATCCCTTATGTCACAAGTATCCCCTTCCTCAGACCCTCCATCTCCTAATACCCCTCCTGATAGAACACCAACTCCCACACCTCTCCCATCTCAAACCTCTCAGTCCTTATCCCACCCTCTAGCTGCTTCCCCTTCAAATTCTCCAACACGTACTACAATCTATATCACTAAATCAACGAAAGTATAACTATCCTTCATTGGAATATTCGCGGTTTCCGCTCCCACAGACCTGACCATCATATCCTCTCCTCTTATAACCCATCTATTGTATGCCTTCAAGAAACCTTTCTTATGCATACCCTTTATCTAATATAACACCCGACCTTAACCCTTTCACTCACTAATTCCTTTGCCCAGCTTAGACAACTAATCACTAACTCAACCACCCTCCACTAACATTAACTATAGTGCTATATGACCTTAGATGTCTAGCACATTTATCTTGCTTTTAACCATTAACCATTAACCATTCTTCTCCTTCTCCTTCTCCTCCTCCTTCTCTTCTTCTCTTCTTCTCTTCTTCTCCTCTTCTCCTCCCCCTCCTGCTCAGCAATGAAATGGGTTTATCCCATTCATTTCTCTCTCTCTCTCTCTCTCTCTCTCCCCCTCCTTCTCTCTCTCTGTCTCTCTCTCTCACTCTCCCTCCTCCTCTCTCTCTTTCTCTCTCTCTCTCTCTCTTTCTCTCTCTCTCTCTCTCTTTCTCTCTCTCTCCCCCCTTCTCCCTCCTTCTCTCTCTCTCTCTCTCTCTCTCTCTCTCTCTCTCTCTCTCTCTCTCTCTCTCTCTCTCTCTCTCTCTCTCTCTCTCTCCCCCTCCTTCTCTCTCTCTCTCTCTCTCTCTCTCTCTCTCTCTCTCTCTCTCTCTCTCTCTCTCTCTCAATAATATAGTTAAATATATAATACAAATACATGTAAACTGGAGAGGAAAATGAACTATAGAAGTTTGATCAATATATAAATGGAAGAGATGTGAATTTAACAGTAAAAACGGCCTAGTCAGAGAAGTCAAGAGGAATAAAACTCGTGCAAAAACTTGCAACCACGTTATTGGAGTTATTAAGGTTAAGTCACTCATTAAACACAAGTTCAGAATGATTAAATTCTTCATTAGGATTCGCCAAACTTTTTCCAGGTGTTTGGTGTAAGTATATACCACTGGGCGATTACCTTTTAACTTACTTTTCGCACTTCAGAAGTCTGCAATGCATTTACTAAATGAACAAACAATACTAAGTAACCTATTTCATTTGGATATCCGAAGTTTTTTTTTTTATTATTGGTGTTGCTTCCACGTGGTAACAATGGCCCTTAGAGAAATAACTATCCACCCTCCCTCCCTCCTGCCTCCCACCCTCCCCTGCTCAACCCCTTTCTCTCTCCCTCGGTGTGTGTGTGTGTGTTTGTGTGTGTGTGTGTGCGCGTGTATGTGTGTATGTGCATGTATGTGTGTATGTGCATGTATGTGTGTATGTGCATGTATGTGTGTATGTGCATGTATGTGTGTACGTGTGTGTGTATGTTTGTGTGTATGTGTATGTGCGTGCGTGCGTGTGCGTATGCGTACGCGCGCGCGCCTTTACGTGCGGTTGTTCGTTCGTTAATTACACGTGTTGTCATTTAGTCATTTTCCACTCATTCATAATTTTTCTACATTTGTCTTTGAAATCTCATAGCAGCTAAAGACCGATATTTATTTTAAACTCGTAAATGGCGATGCTAATCTTCTATATAGGTCTTGAATGCGACATTTACTTGGATTTTGTGCTGCAGTAACCTTTATCAATGCAATACTCGTCTAACAACGTATAACATTAAAGCAAGTGAAGAAAGTGAGGATTCGGAATACATCCCATAACTCTAGAAATACAACACGATGAAGAATGATAAAAGTAGTTACAAGGATTAATGGTAGACAAAACCATACGAAGAAGATATAAGATAAAACCGTTCGTCGTTGATTCCCAACTCCACAGTGGACACCGAGTGATGTTAAAACACCACAATTTTAGAAGTGTCACGCCACATACCCCAGTCCTTACTCTATTAAGTTTAGCTAAAGGGGCGCTCAGAC